CCACGTAAGATGCGAACGCATCCCACGTTTTACGTTGGTCGGCTTAAGCCGTACCATCAGTACGCTGCTTCTTCCGATGAAGAACGCCCTTGCGCTCAAGCATCTCGCAGAGGGCCTTGGGCTCCCCGATGGTGGTCATCAACAAGGGTCTGAAGAGCAGTTATCTCAGTCCCGAGACCGATCAACAATCCCACGAGCTACCCTTAGCTCGTCACGAAGAGATGCCAGAGCTCTCTCGTTCTCAAGCTGAGCAAAAGCAAACTCAGCTCGATGCTTCGAGGCAGTGTCCACCATCTGGAGACGCCTATTCCGCTCATGTTCGAGATCGTTGCGTAACCCTTGCGTTACGCGATCAAAGAAGCTCTCGGGAACACACGGATCCCCACGATCGTGTGGAGAGCGTCTTTCCTCCTCCTCCACCTCCGTTAGAGGACTCTCGCGGTGGCCAGCGCTATCTAGTTGAGCAGCTGTTGAACCACCGCGACGTGAACGGACGTCGGACGAGTTACCTCGTCCGGTGGCGCGGCTATCCCCCGTCCTGGGATTCTTGGGAGCCCCGCTCCCAATTGATGGTTGACGTACTGGGTCTGGTCGAGCAGTACGACGCGGCACATCCTGTGCCGCAGAAGGACCGCCGGAGAAAGTCTTCCCGGCACGGTCGTAAAGGGATTTCAGGTTGTCAATCCCTTCGTACATCTCAGTAGAGACACGTACGCGCCACCACGGGCTGGTAAGGAGGTAAGCCTCCTTAGGTGCTCGTGCAGAGTTGTTCACACAACATGGGCACGAGTCTCCCCAAGAAAGGCAGGGTAATCCTTTCTCCCTTGACAGACGATGCAGCTTGTAGCGTGCACCTGTCGGGGTTCGCTTTTCAAACTTATCACGAGCTTTGATAAGTTTGTCGTTCCAAGCGTCACGACCTACATCCTCGAGATTATGGATGTAGGCGTTCCACGCTTGAAGCAGTGGGGGACCATCACGCTTGTGAATACCATTGTACCATCGATGCTTAAAGAAAGCATCGATGAAGAGCTCATGCTCAGCGCGATGGTTTTTCGCGCTGGGGTCAAGGTGATGGATCTTTGACGAATCGAACAATCGTGTTCGATAACGATCACTCGTCGTCGCCGACAAGTGATCCATGACTGACTTTGGAGGCATCCATGCCTTCTTTTCGGTAGCGAGACGCAACACATTGCGGTCCCGCTCTTCCTGCGACGTGCCGACAGCAGTACTAGTAACTCGCTGTGAAGTGGTGTCCATAGGAGAACCGACACCACTATTAGCGCCCGAGTCTCGCGACCTCGAGCGCCTTCGCTTCGACGATGGTTCATCTGACTCATCAGATGAACCAAAGATGCTGCGACGCAAATCATCGTCCATGCCACGCTTGGCAGGCGGCTTAGATTCAATTGCCGTCGATACGGATCCGTCATCCGTATCAGGAGAGTACGAGACACCGAGCTCATACCCTGTAAAGACATGAGTGTCTTCATGACGAGCGCCTGCATCACCAGGTGATACAGGCTGAGTCGCATTCAGCAACCGATGGGATATCGGTTGCTGCAGTTTCTGCTTCGGCGTCCGCACAGAGACGTGCGGACGCGCTCTCGGCGGCCTTGCTCGCGCACCGCATGGGCTTGTTTACCATGCGATGAAACTGATGGACTGCGGACTCGGACCAACAAGTGCAAACCCCGTCCCAAATGATTTGGGACGAGTATCCATTTAGTCAATCAGTCACTAAAGTGACTGATGGTTGATGGGTAGTAATGTATCGGGGTGAACCGTTACATAACAATTTATAAGAAATTGTTAATAGAATATAACTATAAGAGTTATATTCTCAGAATATTGTCATAAGGACGAATATTCTGCAGCACTTACGAGTAGTTCCTGATTGGTTGACATAGGCCATTATATCAACCGACGAAGACGCGCCACGACAGACGCACGCAATGAGTGGTGAGCAGATAACTGATTTGCACATTTGTATTCAGACATAGTTAGATGAAGATAAATAGTGATTTATTGCAGACATTAACTATTATAAATACAGTTCTACTTTTTACTCTAACCAAGTACTCGCTTCTTCTTACCGTCTTCCTCTGCACGTTCCAGTGTACGTGAGGTTACGCAGCACCGCCTTATTGTGTTATCAGAATAAGTAGCTTGTACTGTCACCAGTACAAGCTTCAGGGTGCCCCGTTACAAGGTTAGATTGTAAAAAAAAAGATATAGAAAAAAGAAGGAGGAGGGAAGGAGTAAGATGAGAAACATCAGCCGATCTTTTTGAAACCGTCACCGGCGTTTTTTTTGCAAATCGATAGTGCGCTATTTGGAGATCTTCGTTGAACACGCGGGTGGGTGTGATGGGGTGTGCTGGGATGGGATGGTTCGTCAATAATTATATAAACAAAAGTTGTGGTGTGGTGTAACTAGTATAAGTGTGGTGGAAAAGTAAAAAAAGAAAGTGAAAATAACAATGCCCTTTATATTTAGATGCCCAGGAAAGATTAGGTAGTAGGATAGGCATTTGCCTCATCTCCTTTGTTACCAAAAGGACTAGTTAATTGATGTCATAAACTGATCACATCTCAACGGACTGTGCTAGGGCTTCGAAGGACCATCCATGGCCTAACATTGATCTATATCAAACAATAAATAGCTCATTACTTCTGCATTTCACTATCATTTGTTCGATTGATAATACTGTGAGAGTGTGATGTCAGTCTTAACATAACATTCATAATTGAAATTTACCCTTTGTAAAATATAATGAAACGGAGGTACCCCGTTACATATTCAGTGTATACAACATAATGCTGGTTGGCGCTTGTACACAGCTGTATAACAGCTTCGAAAAGGGAAAGAGAAGTGAGGTCGCAGCAGGAATAAAACAGAGAAAGCGCGCCTATCGCGCGTACAGATAAGATCATTTGTCTCCTGATTGTCGCAGGGGAGCAAGAGGAAACGGTAGATATAGATAAAAGGGTAGGTAACTCAATCGACCTTCACTACTCGAGCTAAAACGAGCGAGCGGCTCAGTCGCACATATCCGCTTGACAAACGACAATAAGAGAGTCGAGCTCAAGGTGGCGTCAACTGCGTGTCTATCAGTGATACGGTTCTGATCGTGTTGACGATCTCGTCTCAAGTCTACGGCCACAAACAAATCAGTGTGACTTCTGCTGGCCTCGTCCCCGTTTCCACCAAGTTTGCCTCTCGATGGGACTCTGGTTCCAGCTACGACACAGCTGCGACCACAGTCTCGACCCTCGGAGCTCCACTGAACGTTTTCTGGGCACTAACAGCCAAGTCGCTACTACTATAAAGCTCAAGTCTATAGTAAATCTGGACCTGTGAAACGGGAGCTCATATTGGTTGCGTCCATTCCCTGGACAAGTATTGCTTGACAGAGACAGACAAGTCCAGTACGAGATGCAGATACGACAGCTGAATAGCTCCTACATGCAAACTACAAGTCTAGGTGCGAACATCAGGTGGTGGTCATGGCTTTCATATCCGACACATAGCGGGTCCACAGCACTCTCGTGGCTCTCCAGTTGTAAAAAGTCGCTGACTCGTAGCTAGGAGATCTTACTCGTGCATATAGGATGGCAAGTGGTGCAATAAAGAGAGCAAGTGTTGAGCACTTTACTGTAGAAAGTCAAGCTGTCAAGTACCGAGAGCATGAACACAAGAGAACTCTCGTGGGCTTAGTCGTCCATGAGAAAGAATTTGGCTTGAGGAGGAAAATCCTTCGGTAAAAAACCCTTCTCGTACAGACCTAGCTAGTCTTGTCCCAGTTTTAAGACTGAGGCACAGACAACACTGACGGTAGGGAGAAGAGAGTAGCTTGATACACAACTGATACGTAACTGGTTCTGACAAGTGTCACGCGCAGAGCCGAGGATTCTGCTAGAAGCAACGTGGGTTCACGTCCTCATGCAGTAGACACAGTGAAACTCGCTGCCCCGTCTTACGCACTATCCTATCGTGTGTTCTTTGCACGCAGGTGGGTGCGCGATCTGCAAGGTCGAAGAATGTGACAAGCGGTACAAGTGGCGTGATATGAATGCTAGTCACACGGAGGCTGCACACACTACGAAACGGAAGAGTGCTACACGATCGCCGTCTTCACTGGGCCGACGCTGACCCACAACGGAGGTGCGTTTTGTTGTGGTTGAGTTGGTGCCGACATCGAGACTTTTAGCTGCTCGCTACTGCTGCAAAACCGGCACGCGCTGCTTGATCGAGATGCGTCAGAAGGTAACAAGTCTGAGCGGACAAGAACAAAGTTTGCGTTGATTGCTGCACTTTGCAAAGCAAGCAAGAAGAGCCGTCGAGACCTGCCTTCTCTAAACAGCGGCACATGACCGTGCAAACACCATAAGGCTCGATCGGGGCAGCGGCAACAGGGAAGATACACTCGAATGTCGTGTCTCAAGGTCCATTAAAGGATGACTGTCGGTAGAGTAGAAAAAAACGTGGTCGTTCGATCAACTGAAGCGCAAGTAAAAGAAAAAGGTTGCCAAGCTGCAGATCCTGTGGTATGCACGCGTGTACCACGTGCGACATGGACACGGATCCATTCAAGTTTCTTTCCCTTCCACGGGACCAGATGGCATCCTCGTACCCCGATTGTACCTTAGTGCATACTGTGCTAGTGTTCCTCTTCATTGGCACATCATCGTCAAATTGCGAGTCTGACGACAGCAGAAGGATCCTCGTCTAATAAACAATCATGAAGGTCTGAGGCCACATAGTTCGACTTTGGTGGCAGCCTGATGTCCAGCCAGCGTGAACTGGTCCAGGCATGTCTCTCCGCCACAGGCACGCATGTGGCGCAGAGCCGTGGCTCGAGGTGACGAGTCCATCTTCCATCAAGAATTTCTCACAAACACCAGTATCAAATTTGCTTGGTGGTCGTCAGAACTACTTCGGACCTCATTCCCCTCTTTCTCCCCGCCCATTGACTGCGAGTATTGGCGTCTCCGATGATCAAGCGCTTCCTTCTCTTCGTGCTCTTGCTCAGTCCGGGTGCTGTCAGTGACGCTTCACTGGCTCCAACGGCCAGCACGCTGCCTGATGGCACAACCCCCGTTAAAGCGCAGGCTACGAAGGACAAGGCGCGCGGAAAACAAGCGCTCGAACCAAGCAAAGACACGACTGCTGCTGCTGTTGGTGAAGAAAGAGCGCCAGTTTTGCCTTCTGTGTTGGAGGAGCATGTGAAGGCGGCTTCGGAGAAGATGCACGACTGGGGTTCCTGGATCGGGAGTAAGTCTGCACTTTGGGAGATGGCGGAGTCTGCCTTGATGGGGAAGGGGGGGTCTATGAGAAAGGGTAAAGAGGCTCTGCAAGAGGAGGAGGCTGTGATGAAGGTCGAAAAGGCTTTGCAGAAGGTGGACGATTTCAGGGAGAGGGAGGGTGTTACGGGGAAACAGTACGCGAATGCCTGGAGAGAGGTCGAAGAGGCCTCTCGTGTCAGGGAGGCCGCCTGGAGAAGTCGTCTGGAGACTGATGTGAAAGACAAGGAGGCTAGTCTGCGGAAACATCGTGCTGCCTGGGAAACGGAAGAAGCAGCTTGGCCAGCGCTAAAAACAACTTTGTCAGCGGAAATAGAAGATTTGCGAGCGAAAGCAGCAGCCACGGGTGACGAAAAAGCAGAATCGCTGCTTTGGGGTTTTTTGAAATCGTCGCCAAAGGACATTTTGGCGAAGAAGGAACAGACGTTTGATGACCTCACAGCAGCTCGGAAACGGAAACTAGAAGATTTGAACAAGAAAGAAAAAGACTTGAACCTTGCGAAGGGGAAGCTCGCTCTGAAGGAGATCGAGACGTACAAACCACAGTTCGAAAAGATGAAGGCGCACGGCGTTACTCGAGGAGAATACCGAAACGTGCTTGGTCTGGAATCGTCCACCATTGCCAAAATCAACTCCAAGGGAGTCTCTTGTGACAACTTTTTCGTTCTTGGGCCGCAGTACACGAAATACCTGTATTTCGACAAGTTCCTTGAATACGAGGGAAGCTCCAGCGACTTGATGAAGTGGGCCGTACGCCTCTTCGAGGTGAACGAGTGGAAGGCATGGAAAATTTGAATATTGCATTCGGTCAACCGAGTGGCTACGGACAACAACCACCGTAGCTTGGTAAGAGGTGTATGTGCGCTTAATACAACTTGCTTCATTGGAAATAACCAGTCTTTTTCATATTCATGTATGTAAGCACGGAGTTCGCGTGGCCTGGTCGTCGGCCGTCCGAATTGTAACGCCTCATAGTTTCTATGTCGAACAGTTGACCAGTGAGAGCAAATGCTCTCGGCAAGAAACTGGGACGTCCACGTCGATGAGTTGGTTAGTCAGAGTCCATGAAATCATCGAACGAATGTCAACAAAGTCAACATGCATCGCAATATATACGATCGTTAGTGCTGCCATAGAAAGTAGTCCCTCTCATCGTCTTTGACAGCAAAGAATGCATGCGCTCATTGGCGGTATTGTTGGCTTACTATTTGCATGTGGCACCGGGTGATGCCAGACCACAATCCTTTTGCAACATTCACAGCGGTCACGATGACCAGCATGCGCAAATATGCAGTCGACGATCTCGCGGTTGTGCGGTGTTCTGTACCCGTTAATTTCACGATTGAATGTAGTCTTAAGCCCCGTCGTAGATTACATCCTAGCTGTATACCACGACTTTAGTTGCGACCACCACGACAAAAAATGATGTCGTGGTCATCTTTTGGCAATAGTAAAACGCGGCTAGCAGACCGTTACAACGTACGTCACGGTCTACCTTCTGTTACGAGCATTCTGAAGTACATGCTTGCGCTCGATAAATATACGCTATGACTGGCGTAGTCTTACAAAAATGATTTACTGAGGCTTGATGAACGTGGCGTGCTTATAACACCTACAGCTCGCGCCGATAAAACATGAAAATGGCAACTTTCATACTACGAGGCATCTGCGCATGTCTGATTGTAATATTGGACGAAATATCAACAGAAGTCACCATTTTCACGTGTCATTGGTAGCTATTTATGGTTTCCACAGCGATCGTAGACGGATGGAAACACAGCGTAGACTTCAGTCGCTATCAAGTGATCCTCAACCTCCTTTGTGCGAATAAATTGGCTCGGGGGTAGTCAAACATGCTGGGTGTTAGCACTTGTATTTGTGAGATTAGGATCGTTGAAGAAAGCGATCGGGGAGATGCAGCATCCTTATGACGAATCTTTGCGACACCATCCCTTATCACACAACACGTTGAGCTTATCACACATTACGCTGGGATTTCATGAACCGAAGTTGGAGCACATCTTGCATTGAATTGGCATAAGACGTGGCAGTCCAACGGAAGCGAAACAGGCTGGTAAACATTTAGCGTTGACGGGTCACAATATACAACATTTGAGGAAATATTGAAACGAGTGACCAATCACAATCCAGTGAGTGCGATGACTTTTGTACTTCATTTCCTGTTCGACTATCACGTGCAACGAAATAGCGGCTTTTACCAAATTGCCAATGCAGTCGAATTTTTTTCTTAGTAAAGTGGTTCCCGTTATAATGAGGGACGTAACTCGGCTAAAGTGCATCTCCGTAGTGAAATTCTTATCATGCGTCCCTCCTATCTGCTCGGTGTTGGTATACCCCGTAACTCAAAGCCTTATCCTGCTCTTGAAATGAACTCAAGAGGGTCAAGTCGTCATGGACGGTGTCCTCGTCCGCTGATACAAGTGACGGAATTGAGATGATGCGTCTTTTGCTCATGGCGGCAGATACTAGTTTTCACTTCGAGCTCGGATGCACACACGAGCAAGGGTATCACTGGCATCAAATGTCGCTTGTATTGCATAATACTCGAGGTAGCTTTTCTCAAGGCGTATGTACGCTGTAGTCGGCTACTTTCTGACGTAATGCACGCTGAAATTGCCGCTCATAGATCAGTTTAAACGGTTTAAGTTTCCTGATGATACTGCCACATGGTCACTTTCATGAGCAAATGCGCGGGATAATCTATCACCCTTTTTTCCTGTCGTCTGAGAGCGAAAATAGTTTGTGGCGCAATCCTATACGCTAATTACAACCGTCAATTGGTCGCCTCTGCGGCCTACCCTATAGCAAGCTCTATTCCCACTGTACAAGATGCATACAGATCCGCCACCATCCCCTTGTAGTAGTGTCGCAGGAATCATTCGGACTTGAAATGTTATTTGTTTGCATCTGTTAGTTTCTGCTACTGAGCAGACCTCACTAGGTATTGAGCCATTTTTGGTGGGATAGATAACCTGCGCACCGGAAATGCTCATTGTCAATATATTTTTGATCATCGCTCAACAATCAAAGCTTTTGTGTGTACGTAAGATGATAGCCGAGTTATTTACAGACAACTTTGTGTCTGTCCCTCTGTCTGTCAGTCGATCTGTGCGTTCATTTGTTACGCGGGTGTACCGTACATACATTAAGGCTTTTTTATCATGCAGAGTCTTGTTTCGTTAGTAGATTTGCAAACTAAATGTCACTCTTTCGGTAGTCACTACTTGCGACCACGCAAGAGTCTAAAAGAAATGTGCCAACACGCATGTGCAGCATGGCGGGCTCATAAATAGAGATGCACTAAAATGCACAGAGTCATGCGATACAAAAAGTGGAAAAGAGAGGTCAACCGTGTCGGTCGGCATACCCGAATTTGGTAATCAGTACAGTAGCAGCACAAAATTCTTTTGGACGCCGTCGTTTAGCTCAGCCAAAATGTGGACAGTATTCTGGGCTGGATAACCTGTATCAAAGGGCGAGCTCCAGAGCGTGCTCCTCGATCTCAGTCTAACGTGTAAGCATGTTGTTTAAAAATGCTAATGGCTCATGCCGTCAGCTCACCTCAAGCCTTGCAGAAATCAGTCACATCAGCGAAAGCACACACGCTTTGATCTCAGTAACAACACATATGCTTCAAACTGTTCTGATTATGCATATTTAAATAAAAGTGGCACTATTAGAAATATTGACGAGATAGTCATTAGCTACGTGTATCCTGGTATGAACTCTGCAACTGGTCTACTTGGCGCTTTTCTTAAGCCGCCATCCTATGTCGATCGCACGAGGATTCACTCCCTCTTTTGTCAGCCGGTTTCAGAGATAACACTGTAAAAAGTGGTTGAGAGAAGGAAGACCTGGTGTATGCACACCTAAAGACAAGAGGACAACAAGAGGTAAGAATGAGTCAAGGGGATCTGAAAGGCAGTTCTAATCTATTTTTCTACCGGCTCTGTTGTTGGCGTATGCATATCCAAACGGGTCGACAGCCCCACACATTTTCAGCTTGAATAGCCTCTCGCGTATAATAGGAGTCGTCTGCAAAGTTATCTTTGAGCATCAACCCATCTCTTCGGCATCACTCGAGGCATTTCGCATCACCATTTACACGAGTTTTATGTAGAACATAGTGCACGAAATAGGCTCACTAGACTTATGATCTGTGAGCGTATTACTGCGCGCTTACGTGACAAATATACCGTAGCTCGTGTCCAGAGCCCACTGAATGTAACTCTATTCGAGTAGGACTGAAAGCCTTCTGTAGACGGACACTGATGTCAAGCCGAGATCCGCATGAAGCGTGCAGACGACATCGATTGCGGGGAGTATGCGATCGGTTGATCGCGCAGATCACAAAAGTATCCAGAAGGTATGCGATGGAATTGTGGACGGCGGGTAGTAATGAAGGCTATACTAGTAAATTCAATCTGACTTGGTATTTACATTATTTGTGGAAAATCACAAAGATGCCAATGCATTCATATCGACTGCTGTCGTCATTCGCGCCGAGTTATGTTATACTTAAGCGATACCGGCGTCAGCACGTTATTGCACGAAGGCAAAAAAATAAAAAGCAACAAGCATAAATAGCAAAGGCAAAAGATCTGCGTCTTTTCAGTTATCTAGCAACGTCCAAGCCTTCAACATTGCGATCACAGCACTTCCTTAATCGACCTGCATGTGCTCCACGACCTCACCGTCCTCAGTTATCGCAGTAACTTCCGAGTCAGCTGACGTTGTGACACACGTCTGTGCTTCATCCACACTAGCCACCCCAAAGTTGCACTTTGAGCAGCTAAGGTGAGGTTATCAAACCGCAATGCAGCCAATGTCTTGTCCATTCTCTGGCGCTGGCGACCACGGGCCCGTTTCTTGGTCTCTTTTTTCTTCCGGTCTTCGACCTCATAAATCGTTCGGTATGTCTCTTTTGATACCTTTTCTTTCAATAGCGTAAAGAAGACGCCGCCCGCCGTGCGGCGCCGCAATTTACAGTCTCGAGAAGCTTCGTTCAGCACGTACAAAAGCTCGGGTCTATTCTTGGCTGCAGTGTCAACTGATTGCCCGTCATCTTTCTCCAGACGCAGCGTCTCTCGCAAGAGCTTCCAGGATACCTTGGGCCCCACGATTTTTACAACGCGATGCAAAAGCGCTATTTTGGGCTCTTTCAGAAGCTCGGACAGCATGCGCGGCGTGTCTTTGGTCAGCGGCTGCTTCAGGTGATTGCGGCGGCGTTTCGAGCTTCTTTTGTGCCCACTCGGCGGCTTCTTTCCGTGTTTCTTCTTCCTTTCAGGCTGCTGTTGTGGCTCACTTGGCGGTGCAGCGTTTGGCGCACATGTCTGCGGTAATCGCGCAGCGTCCATTTAATTGAGCCTGAAGAAAATCAAGGATGCGATTCAATCAAATTGCCATCTTTTGTGATGTACATAATGTTGGAAAACTCGACGCTGTTTTTCTCCAAGCAAAAGAGCACTTAAAAGAGTAGAACTAATGAGATTCGGAGCACATGTATCGTACAGATCCTTCCAGCGTCATAGCTGCTATCGCAGCAGAATTGTTACCCGGGCGTTTCTATAGCAATCCATCTTCTTCTGTTATACTTAGGATGATACTTTTTGTGCTCTTGAGCTCACGATGTTTACGAGTCTGCTTGTAGCCTTAGTAACGTGAACCGTGCTTGTCAAAAGGGATACGAGGCTACCGCTTGTTTTAATAGACGTCAAGTAACACGACACGCCTGAGCAGACATCGCGGCTCCAGTTCAGGTCGACATTTGACAT